TGCAGACATCTTCAGTCCTGCCAGATGTCACATCCCAGACATGAGTGTCAGCAATAGGGGTGATCTAGTACGAATGAAGCCACAGGAATTCGATGGGAATGCACTGTGGGAAGCATATAAAGCACAATTTGAGCTCCTGGCAGAAATGTATGGATGGACAGAGGAGCAGAAAGCAGTAAATCTGGCAACGAGCCTGAAGGAACAACCACTGGAAATACTTGGACAGTTGTCAGCAGATGACAGGCACAACTATAGAGCCCTGGTAGCTGCTCTAGAACTCAGGTATAGAATTCAAAATCAGTTCGAAGTCTACAGGGCTAGGTTGAGGACGAGCATCCGTGCTAAAGGAGAAAGACTGCAAGAGCTGGCACAGGATTTGGAAAGTATGGCACACAAGGCCTACCCAACTGCACCACAAGATATCCTCAAGCTGTTGTTGAGGGATCAGTTTGTAGATGCCTTGGACAGTCTACAACTGAAGATACAAGTAAAACAAACACACCCCTCTACTATGCAGGATGCAATGGCCAGAGCTCTTGAATTCGAATCCTATGTTAACTCCAGCACAGAAGTACCAAGTTTGGGATTCAAGGCCAGAAGAGGGCAGCTTTTAGAGAAGTTTGAGGGACTTTGCTGGCACTGTAACAAACCTGGGCACAAGAGAGCTTAACCCGATGACTATCGGCTACTAACATTCTTAGTAGGCAATGCAAGTCTTGCTATATTTCATTCCAACAATAAAACTAGTGGACGAATATTTTTGAGAATTCATAAATACTTTGACAAATGTAGGTAGTTTAAGAAACATAAAGCCTATTACTTTTAATAAATTTAGTTTTTTTGCATTATGATATTTAATATCTTGGAAAATTACATTGTGAAATCGTATTTATAAGAAATGATTACACTATTTATATTTGCTACAGATTTGAACATATTACTTTTAATGTTTTAGTACATTATTTTGAAATCCCCCAAAAATTGTATCCTCCATAAAATGCAAATTTTATCTATCTTTAATTTTTTTAATAATCACGTATACTTCTTATGGTTTCATATAATATACAGACCCGTAAATTATATTTGTAAATAAACCTAAACAATAAATGAGTATTTTTATTTTTAACTAGGATTTTATGCTTATATATGTACATAAAAACATTTTAATTTTGTTTCATAAATATATTTTTATTTCAAATTTATGTTTATGTTTCATTGCAGTCGTACTTTTGTGTTTATTGTGCCGAATAAACCTTGGGGTCAGCAGCGTGAACTTTGTATGTTGTCCGTAAACTATCTCACCCTTTTTGGTGGTCACTCTCGTTCAACCGAGCGCGAGCGCGTGTGCTTTTGAACGTTACTCTAGATATGATA